ACCAAAGAATTTTGAATTTTTGAATTAGGTAAGAGGAGGTTTTGATTAGGAGACAGCACTGAAAGAAACATTCTGATAATGGCAGAGGATGTTCCATTTCATGAATAAGCAAGTGAAAAGCATGTGCCCATCAAAGATGTCAAATAAACACTTCTAAAAATCAGCTCTGCAAAAAGAAATTTGGTATTTTGAACAAGAATGGAGGACATGGAGTTTTCTTTGGGATTATATGAGATACCCCCAGCAAAGTTTTTCTCCTAGAGGTTCTAAATATTAAAGAAGGATTTTGCATTATAAATACTAATTATTTAGATATTAAGACAGTTGATAACCTGCTAGGAAATAGAATTGTGAGATTATGGGAATGGAATAAATCTTTTAGGGAAAGTGGCCAGAATTGTATCAGATAACCCCGCCTATAAATTTGCTAAACTTTAAAGTAAAAACAAGCTCTTTGAAGAGTACTCTAGATTCTGCTTCTCTCAGAAGTCTTTTTGTCACAAGACTATATTTATTCCTGATTGAATTTTTATGTCTCATGATCTTATATGGGTTTCATTCTACCATTCCTATAATTTCTCTCTTCCCTAACAGGGAACTCACACCATCTGTAGGGTTCTCTCAGAACCCTCCTTTTCTTTTTTTATGAAACAAACCTCTCTGGTCTGCTTTTAACAAACTAAGCACTTCTTACCATGTTAACAGTCTTTTTGTCTACCTATGGCAGCTAAAGGAATTGAATGTTTTTGGTTTTTTTATTTGTACATTTAAGAGTGTTCGTGCTATACTAGGCTAATTTTTACCAATGCTTGCCTCCGCAGTTTTCTATATTTCAATTTCTGCTAGAAAGACAACCTTGTTAGGATGCTTCTTGCTACAATTGCATGCTAATCACAAAAACAAAAGCTAAGAAAAGCAAACCCATATAGAGCCACAGAATGGCATCTTGCCCCATCTAAGACAAATGGGATGACAGAATAAGAAACGTGGTTCACCACAGCTGTAACACTACATTTCTGAATTATTTGGTAAAATTTTGAGTTTCAGTACAAAATCTATCTAGCCACTGAAGGATATTTGTGAAGAGATTAAACAATCAGTATATAATCTAAACAGTATATGACGGGTAGTTTTAAAAGGCAGAACTCCAGTTGAGCTGAATTGTTTCATTGACTCATGATTTAAGCTCTTGAGTTTCATCCTAGAAGACAGATAAGACTGCTGAATCATACCCAGATAATATTTAATATAATCACCAGAGAATGTAATATATACAGCATGAATTTGCATAGAGTCTTGTTTGTCTTAAAACTGTGTTAAATTTTATTTTTAGTTAAAGAAAAAAATATTCTATATGTCATTAATTTCTACTCCAAATAAACATAATCACTTCAGATTCAAAACCGTATTTAGCTCTAAGAAAATTGGTTATAATGGCTAGAATATTATTAGCATCACACTGGACATAAAAAGATTTTAACTCATCAAAAAGAAAAATTTCATTAATGATTGAAAGGATCTCTGAAAAGCTAGAAAAACATTAACAGAATAAATTGGTTTCAAGGAAAGCATTAAGGTCTTTGAGAACACAGCTGCGATGAACATTTAATGCTAATAGGGCAGTAACAGACAGCATGAATTGAATAGTGTAGGTAGGAATGGGCTCAATTGCTTAGAATAGAGGGAATTTTTTCACTCAAGATATGGTCAGTATATGGTCTTTATAAACATACACTTAATAATTCAGATTTAGCTGATGTCTGTACAAATTGGGCATTCCAGAAGTATGCAATGCAGATTGCTTAAAAGTTATGTTGTGTCATGAAGAAGATATTAGAGACAAAGATTGCTTCTTGGAATAGCAAGCTGCAAAAGACCAAAGGAAGAAACACAACAGTCCTATATGTAGCTATGGGTACATGAACATGAGATGTAACTATGAGAAAGTAAATAGATTATTTATCTTGTATGAGCACAGTCAACACATACAACAGTCTTGTAAGAATGAAAGCACAAGAGAAAGATCACAAAAGTATTTAGTGAAAAAAATTGAGGATTACAGTTGGAAATTGAAAAGTTGAAAAGGCATTATAGGGATTACTTGAAATTATATTGTCTTTAGCTAAACATGAGGTTTCCAGAAAGGTACCAGTTGAGGAAAAAGAAACCTCCTAAGGTTTTGTGAGACCAAGAGGTAATATAGGGATCATTTGAAAAAAGTTGATTTAACAGAAAAATTGGAGTAAATTATTAGCACTGGTGAGGTGAGTAGCAAGGTTCCCAAACTGGAACCTGTCTTTATGAGTTGAATCTAAGAAACTGGTGGAAACCCCAGTGGAAGAAGCTTTATGAACGTCCTGATACTGTGTGCAATAATCAGTCACTGGGATCTGGTTACAGATTCTTGAGAGCTGCAGGGAAATTGCTGATGGTGAAATTATTCATCTGCTACATTCCATGGCAGCTTGTTGCTTAGTCACTTGGGACTCTTAGATAGAAAATAAATTGGTTGGACAGCCACATACAGGGGGTAATGGTCAAAAGTTCAGAGTTCTGATGGGCATCCACAATACGTGGGCTTGAGCAGTGGGCCCATGGGAATCTCATGAGGTTTAACAAGGCCAAGTGCAAGGTGCTGCACCTGGATGGGGCAAACCCTGGTATCGGCACAGGCTGGGGATGAACAGATCAGAGCAGCCTTGCTGAGAAAGACTTGGGGGAGCTGGTGGAGGAGAGGCTGGACATGAGTCAATTGTGTTCTGAACTGCATCAAAATGGACATGATCAAACGGTCGAGGGACAAAAGAGCTGGACAGGGACTCTCTACAAGGACATGTAGTGACAGGAAAGACATTTAAACTTAAATAATTATGTTTAGATTAGAAAGAAATTATTTACTGTGAGGGTGGTGAGACACAAGAAGAGGTTTCCCAGAGATGCTGTGGATGTCCCATCCCTGGCAGTGCTCAAGGCCAGGTTGGACAGGTCTTAGAGAAACCTGGTCTTGTGGAAGTTGTGCTTGCCCATGGTAGAAGTTGAAACTTGATGAACTTTAAGGACCCTTCCAACCCAAGCAATTCTCTGATTTCATGATTCATATGTGGCATGAAGGCTGTAGGAACAGAGAAGAAAATCCTATGGTTTGGAAGCAGATGATGAATAAATAAGAAAATTGCAGGCTAAGTCCTAGGAACTATAAGAGAGTGAGATGTGAGAGGAATTTGTTCTATCTGTCCACCCAGTCCACTCAGTGTGCAGGTCCATTTTTAGAAAGATTAATTTACTTTTTTAAATGTTCTCTATAGAGCTTCCCAGTATAAGATTAGTCAGACTTCACTTGCTTAGTGGTGTAAGTTCTCCAGAAGACAGACAGTCTTGAAGACAAAAAAGTATTCAAACTAAGAATCAAAGTATATTCTTTAAAATAAGGAGAGCAATATTTTAAAATATGATTGTAAATCCATCTTCTGGAAGCAAGTGCACTAATTACATTTTCCACTAGATTTGCCTCTTGGAATTAAAAGGTGAAGTGACTTTTCTTTTTTTCTTCTGTATAAAACATCTGCCTTTTCTTTCATTATTATGTCTTTTATCATTGTTGTGGTTCATATGTAGATGTAGTATTTATGCACCTGGTGTCTCCGTATAGACACATAAATTCTGCACATTTAAATGCTCAGACTGGTAAACACTGACTGTAGCTGTGTAGCCAATATATATATTGGCTTTAGAAACTGACTGTGAAAAATCAGATTTTTTTGTATAAAGCAGACTTGCACTTGCTGATCAGGAAGATTTACTAGATTTTGAATCTATTGAATTTAATTTTACTTGCAAGTCAGAGGAAATCTTTTTTCTGGTTTAACGGTAACTTTTTAATGCAGCAGGTTTATCTGAATATTAACAGCTATGCTTAATACTTTTGGAAACTTCACAGTTGGTTTCACAGTAGAGTAACACAAAAAAATCAGCTTCAACAAAAATCATGTTCAGATTTATCTAGAAAAATCTCATATTTTCAATGTATGGCCCCATTTCTACAGTACAAGCTGTTCATTTTGGAGCCAAGATGTTAAAAAAGCTAAAGCACTATTAAAACATTAATAATTATATGTCTCTCTGACTCTGGGTTTTTTGTTGTTTGGGTTTTTTTGTTTGTTTGGGTTTTTTTTGTTTTTTGTGAGGTTATACCCTAAGGATGTCAGAGATACTATTTTCATGTGCTTGTGGGGTTTTTTTTGGTTTGTTCTTAAATTTTAATTAGGCAGCACTAAAAATGACTAAATTTGGTTTGGATTTTTTTGTAGTTGTGTCATGATCAAAAAAATCAGAAAAATCCTACCAAGAAAGATTTATTATTTCTATTAACTTTAAGTCAGGAATATTCTGGGAACTGTAGATTTTAATATTCAAAAGAAGTTTTATAAAATATCTCAACAATTAAAATATCTGACACTCAAAGTAAAAATTTTGAGCCTTGTGTGATGGAAAAGGTTTTCATATGATTTTCAGTATATGAATACTGATTTAAATTATTGTGCTAAAACTGGGATCCTGCATAGGTCAATTTGATCTCCTTGCCTAAGCAGAAGACAATTTTGAACTGAAAGATGTCCTTCTAACTTCACTTGTTATATGGCATGGATGATAATCCAAATATGTAGGAGTTTAAAAGCCACCTTTATTCCCCTAAAACACAGCATCCTAAAAATATTTGAATTCTGAAAATAACGGAGTAGTAAAGTTACTAAAGATCAGCTGAAAGATAAATATTATGTTACAGAGACACATATCTTTTCTAGGAAGCCTGGGCAAATCAGTTTAAAATGGGAAAATCATAACATTAATGCAAAATCAGAATTAAGCTTTCCTTTTGCCTTGTGCTCCTTGAAAGTACAAGACTAAATATTTGTATACGCAGAGGTGATGAAAAACTAGGCCCAGACAGGTATGTTGTCAGCAATTTATAAAGGCTGTAAATTTAAAGGGAAGGTTCTAGATGATTTTCTGTCGTTTAGCTGTGAGGATGAACAAACCATTGAACATCATCTTGTGAGGGAAGCTGCTTTGAGCGGGGGGCTGCACAAGAGGCCTCCTGAGGCCTTGTTTCCTTGGGTGCCCCGCCTGAAAGGCCAATCCATCACCCTGTGATCCCATGCCAGCAGACACACCGGGCTGACTCCGCTTTGGACTTGCCATTCCTCCCTCCCCAGCTGCAAATTGCTACTTTCTCAGGGGATTGCCAGATCATTCCCTTGCAGGCTGAGCTGTGACCCTGCTCCTTTCTTCCCCTGGCCGGGTAAGGTGAGGCCAAGGCAGCGGATGCGAGGCTTCCGCAGGTGCGCGCATTTTGCAGGGCGGGCTGCTGGCACACATTCGGCACAACAGAGTGCTGGTAGCTGGCCTCCCTCCAGGCAGAGGGCAAAGCCAGAGAAGGAGAAATAAAGGAGCTAAGCAATAGGATGAGGGGACAAATGTGCTAAAATGTAATATTTTTACTGAGAAACAGCAGTGAAGCTGCCCGTCAGTCTCCAGACAAGAATCGGCTGGAGGGAAGAAGGGAGCTGGAGGCAGCATGCTCCTGTGGCAGGGAATCTGAAAGTATTCAGTGATTTCCAAATGGCACTCTTGCTTGCTAAACCATTGTGGAGCAATCCCTGCAGATCCCTAGGTGCCAAGTGTGAGCTATTGCACCAACCGGAGGCATGTTCTGTGTTTCAAAAACATCTTATTTGATTACCTTCAAAATTCAACCAGCTTCTGGGAAAACAAAGTCATGGTTATGAAGTGACTCAGTTACTCTTATATGAGAAAGATTTTTGGGAACATATAGAACAAAGCTAATGAGAAATACAGAAAAGGAAGCACAAAAAATCAAGCTCGGAACATGAATCACCTTTCAACCCCAACAGTATAATCATTACTATAATTAAATCCTCATAATTTAAGTTACACTTCACTCAACAGAAAATTGATGACTTATGTTTTAATGGGAATTTCACTGTATTCTGGTAATCTATTTTGTATAAATTAAGTCTCTAGGGTGAAATAATCATTTTGAAGCATACATTTGTTTGGATTTTCTTTCACACTACAACAGCTCTTATTCTAAAAGCGGCTAAAGCTGTCATAATTTGGAAACAAGGAAATGATTTACTGTCTGTGGTAATAATTAAATAAGAAACACATTGACAACAGGAGACTTATCAAAAAGGAAAAAAAAAATGGAACACTAATCCCCACCACTTACCGCTTATGCTTGAAGAAGAGTCAATTATTTTAGTCTAAATCCCTTTACTATCCATGCTCAAAAATATTTTCTTTTCTGCAACACATACTTGAGTCTCAGCTTCTTTATCTGGCATGCAGAAGAAAGCAGTAGTCCCTGGCTTGTGCCTGAGAAAAGCAAGCTGCCATAAGTGGCTCTGGGGTGTCCATGCCTAGGAGAGAAAAAGAAAAGGTAAACAGCAAAGTTGCCATTGCAGTCCAGCCAGAGCAAGACAGCAAAGAGTAAGGCCTGCAGAGACAATAGAAACAACAGGTTTTCAGTATCCTAGAGTAAATGCTATGTATTTCACCCATTTTCACCTACTCACAGAAATATACTTATGGGCTGTACATTTGTGTTCCAAGCTGCTTATCCGCAGCGTGAATTGAGAGCTGAAGCTTTCAGTGTATAGAGAAATACTACATTTGCTTTACTTCGAATTCAGTTTACATAACTATTCATCCTTTCTCAAAAAATTTGAGAAATCTCACTCTTTTGCCCACCTATTTCTTACAATAGAAGGCTGTTACCTCCTTAAATAAGTACCTCTTTGTGCATTTTTGTTTACATTTTGTGTAAAAACATTTTCTGTGTTGTCTCTTCTTTCTCTCCTCTAAATCCTTTATAGCAGATGATGTCTGAGCATATTGGTGTCTGATCAGAAGCTGACCCCAGAGTTTCAGAGGCTTCCTGCAGAATTGTATGATCCTGGTGAATTTAGAAAATATGCCATCTCCTAACTGAAAATTTATCCAAGATATTAAAAAAAAGAATAAGGAATGAATGAAGGAAAGTATTTCAACAGCAAGGTTGGTAATTTAGGGCAGGATTTGGTTGTCCAAATGTAGGTGTTCAGCTCATAAAATCATAGAAGGTTAGGATCATTTATGTTGCAAAAGACCATGGAGATCATCAAGTCCAACTGTAAATGTAACACTGACAAGTTCACCACTAAACATTCCTTGTCTAAAGTTCACCACTAAACCATGTTCCTTAGAGCCTTGTCTAGTGAGATAACACTGCCTGTGGTGTACAAGATATGCACAAGGCAGGGATGACTTGGGATTTGATGTAGCCATGATGTCTCGGGATGTGGCTAGAGGAGAGGTGGAATATCCCAGGTCACTGGAATGGCACCAGAGTACTATATTTGAGAAAAATGAGTTGTGTCACTTTGAGTCTGAATAGGTCCTTGCTTTTCCCCAAGCTTCAAGGCCCCTGCCAAGGGTATTACTTCTGATGAACTGGACCTTAGTGGATCCCTATTAGATCAGGTTTTTCATGGGCTGTAGTCATTGCCAGACTTCATTTATACAACTCTGAAGCTAAGGCATCCAGCAGCTTGCCTAAGGTAATGGGGGACAACTACAAAAGAATGTGAGGAAGTTTCAGATTAAAAAATCATGTTTGTGTTCACTGAAGAGATTATAGAATGGCAAATAAGAAGACTTCTGGGTCCAGAAGTCCTTTGCACTTCAAAATCATTTAGGCACTTCAGTCTTTTCTTATAACTGCTCTCTGAGCAATATTTGTATGTCATTTAACAGAGTGGGCCTTGCTCCCAAGTTTAAGGGTCAAGACTTAAACAAAATCTTCGTTGAAGATTGTCTCGATGTGAACAGCTGCACCTGCTAACAGAGCTTAGTTAACAATCAAGGTCTTCTAACTGGTGATTTATATTCTCTTTGTGGAATTATGTTCTAAAAGGTAATAAAAAAAAAATATGGAAATGCATATGTCTTTCCAGAAGTTATCAATTCCAAACAAATGTATGCTTAGGTCTCTCTGTGACCCATACATGAATGGTGCTGCCCTTGTGGAAGACTTCCAGCACTTCCAGCCCTAGGAAACTGTCTGAATAAGGGGAATAAATGACCTATGGTATTTAAAGAGAATATTTTTATTTTTAACCTAAAAAATCTACAGCTGTAACATCCCAAGTCAAAAATCCATCAGTTTGCAGGGGAAAAACCACAAAACCAACACAACAAACAAACCCAGTTATGCCCACTAGACACTGCAGAAAGGCATTGAGAAATTTGGAGCATAAAGAAAGAGGCAGAGAAACAGATGAACTGACACAGGGCAGCAAAGAAAATAGATTTGCTCAAAAGTTTAGTTGGTTCCTCTAATTCTAATTTCCTTTCTTGTGAGTTTTATCCTTCTACATTTTTTGGAATAAAGAAATGCCTGACATTCTGAAGTATAGCAAGATTATAAAAACCTATCTAGTTGAGCCACCTCAGAGTAACTATCTAGTTCTTCATTTTTATGACGGGAGCTTTTATAATCAGCACCAGTAATACTGAAGATGTAACATCTATCTTTAACAGGAAAAGGAGCCATATCTCTTCTAAGAGTTACTGCCAAATGGAGCATATTGTAGAATTCAGCTGTCACTAAGCCTGGAGGACTTGAGCTTTTTCATAATAAAATCTGCCTTCAAATTCTCTGTAGGCAAGCAAACCAACTGCTTCTTTCAAATTGTGAGTTTAGTCATTTGAAGTTTCCTTAACTGGATTCTCAAGACTTTTTACAGCTGGTAAGTATGTTCAGTTTGAAATATGACTTCAGTTAGCATGCTACACATCAGGTCATAATTGGTGGTCAAAGGACAGATTTTGACTGCCTTGTTAGTCATGTTAATAGCTTAGACACATAATTTGAGAAAAGTATTGTAAAACAAATCCTCAGTTTAGATAAACTGCCTGTGGCTGTCACAGAGTTATGTCTTTTCCCATCAGTTAAGACTCTAATTTCAGACTGTTAAATGTGTCTAAGGTAGGATCTATTTTGATTTCAATAGCTCAAGAAGCAGTTAAAAATAAGTTTTTTTATCCTTTTGTACTACTTATTTTGCCTTTTCTAATTTTATCTCACTTGGACAGAAAAACCTATGCTCAGTAACATAGTTTTATTCTCACATACTGGGAGAAAATTACAGTACGTTTAAGTGTAACTGTACCAGTAAGCATTTCCCATCCACAACTGACCCCCAAATACATGAGGAGTTGCTCAAACAAGCACAACATTTTTCTACGAAGATAACACCAATACAGAAAAGTCCCCCAAAATAAGAGTAATCTAGAGCATTTGTCTGGTGTTCCATCTCAGTAATCAATGGTATGACATCAAGAAATTTTATTACTTTGTAAAAATAAAAAGGTAGTCTCAGAGTCTCCTTCTAAAGTCTGCTATGTTGCTTTTATTTATTTATTTATTTATTTATTTATTTATTTATTTAATAGGGAAATGGACCTTTGATAAAAAGATATATTTCTGCTTACACAAGTTCTGCTTACATTGTACATTGTATAATGAACGGTTCTTGTGCAAAAAAAAAGATCTAAATGCCTGTTTTTCTCACTAGTCAAGGTATATCTAAAACTATTCCATATGATCTTTCCTTCAAGAGTGTTGACCAGTGAATTTCTTTGTGCAGGTGAACATCTAATTAGCACACTTTCAAGTAATTGGCTCTCCATGGCAAACATGATCAGGAGAATTTTTTAAAAAAAACTGGTAAGAAGCATATACAAGTAAATCTGAAAGCAAGGCCCCACAAAAGATTAGACTTGAATTCCTACTCGTGTCACTTCTGTAAATACATATGCATAAAGACAATATGTACCTTGGCTTTTGGCAAAAAAATTTCTTAAGAAAAACTTATCCCAGTTTAAATCTTCTTGTCCAGACTAAACACTTATTTTATTCTTATAAAACTTTATATATATGTATATAATAGGAAACCTGCTCATCAATATTAATCAGCTACTGCCTTCTTTTTGAGAAGGACTTACTCTGCCTGAGTGTTGACCATATTTCAGCTCATCCAAAAAAGTTGTAACTCAAAGGTAGACAACTATAGGATTAAGTGCATATTTTATCCATTAGTTATAATAGAGTCTGGTGTGATTACCTCATATATGGATGTCCTGTTGAGATTTACCAACATTAAGGAAATTTTCTGTGGAATATGACAAATTAGATGTAGAATCCAAAATTTTAGAAATTCTGCTGAGGAGTCCCAAGGGAAATACAACATTGGTGAAAATCTCAGTTGGAGATTGGGAGTGACTGACAGTGATGAAACAGATCATTTTGACTTCTCCAGGTGCAGTCATTCCCAGAAGATGGTGGTGTACAACATTCTTACAGCAGGTGTAAACTCCTTTCTTTCTTGCCCATTTGTAGAAAGAATAAGAAAGTCAGAAAATGTGTCTTTCCACACAGCCTGTGCAGTATTGGAAGGGGAGAGCTTGACAATGACCTTGAAGGTTAAGGGAAAGCTTCCAGCTGCTAAAAGAATAGACCATTCCCTGAAGTTGACCTGAGGACTGTGGAATTAGGGTCAGACACGTGGATTTACTAACTTTTAAAACATAAATAGAGACTGAGGGGCTGACAGGGATCAACCTTTTCTACATGAACATACACCAAAGTTTTGAGTTCACACCAGTACAAGCAGGGCAGGACAAAGAGGAACTTTTTGGTGGTTTTCGACCCCGGCTGTAGATGGGTCAACCACTCCTTGCAAACCAGCTTTACCTTGTGACAAGTCTCTTTCTTGGTGAACTTTACATAAAAGCATAAAAGCAGAATTAAAGGGTTTTATTGCAGATTATATAAAGTTCATATCATAGAATAAAGGCTTGATGTGGCATTAAAAAAGAGAAAAAGGGGAATGACATGGAAGAATGGGACAGAAACATAGTAAAAGTGAAGAATTACCACAGAAAGAGGTTATGGGGAGTATATTAAATTGTATGTAAAATTGCTCAGGGCAAGATGCAAGGTCTAAGGATTCAGAGCTTACGCTTGAGAAAAGCATAAGAACCGCACAGTCCTGCCAGGGTCCGTGGATGGATGGCAAATGAGGATCTGGCCTAGTATTTTCATACTTATATCTGTGTCCATCTAATTCTTTTATTTGTACTTTATTTGCCTCAAAAGCAGCATAAAGAATCCAATTTAGTTTTAATTTTTCCCCTAATATCTTGTCAGTCTTTTTATGTAGACTAATGTGAATGTTGCCCTTTTTAGATGTAGAAAATAATAGTACTCTGGAGCCTCCTTTTATCGTAAACCAGCAGATTAAGTGTAAGTATGCAGTGCAACATTTCTACATTCCCTTCTGCTACTAAAAAAACAGTGTGTTTGACCATTTTATTTCTTATCCTTATACTGTGTTAGCAATCTTTTTTTTTTATAAAAAAATCCCATCTCTATTCCTTATAGAAGTTTTAAAGTAATTTCACAGCTGAGTGGAACCCTAAACAGAGCTATCTTAGTGTAATGAAGCAGAAAACGATTTCTCCTTAACAAGACTGGTATATAGTGACAAACAGCTCATAAAAATCCCATCTGCCACAAAATGCTTTCATTTTAGTCTCTTTCTCAACTAAATGCTATGTTTCCTGTTTCTTTTTAGAAGGAGAAGAGGATATATAAAGCCTAACCCATCAAATTGTCCTTTGACAAAAGAGTAAGGAAAAAAAAAAAAGCAAACACAAAGCAATCATCTTATAAAACACTGACACTAAGCATTCCAAACACCACAAAGGTGTAATGTCACTTTTGGATCCATTTGTAAGTACACCATTTTTTATTTTTTTTTTTTATTTTTTTATAGTAAAAGGGAAAAGCTAACAACTGTACTGTAAAGAAAATTTTCTGATTACTTAACAGCTGACTACATGTAAGAACAGTCTGTTACTGGTTTTATATTATAAAAATAGTTCTTTACAGACTGCAATCAAATAGATGGTAATGAATAACCTGTAACTTGAAGTTGTTAAACTCTTTAGGTTATTTGGTAATTAGTAGCCTCATCCTGTAACCTCTTTCCCACTTAAAACAAATTAATACTCACTGACTAAAGTTCTCCATAGTATTTACAGAAATTCCCCATCAGAAAGTTCTGTAAACTTCCCCTGTTTATTAAGCAGTATCATGAACTGCTGCAGTTCACTTGTTAACGCACTGTTAGAAACATGCTTTGCTGTGAGCATTACTCCTTTCTGTCAGATGGGAACAGAACCATCTCTTGTGCCTGGTTTTGCCTGCGGAGGTTATGTTTTTATTTTAAAAAGATAGTAAATCACCTACTCTTTGCAGCAAGACACAGCTGCATCCTCAGAGTAGCAAGGAAGCCTTTTTGTGATGCTAATGCACAGCCTACTATCCATGACCATAAGCTCCTGAATTGTGATCGATATTATCTGAAATGACATTCATATCTGCTCTTCAACCTTATGGAAAAGAAATATTTTTAGCCAGGCCTCTCTATACTCAGACATAAACTTTTGCCATTGTCTTCAAATTCACTGTTTTTAGTGTGTCTTGGTGATTAATGCTTTTTCTGGAAGAATCATAAATTTATCTAGCTAAGTAATCAATTTTTGAACAGTAGCACCACCTTTTCCAGAGGTATAATTTCACATTGGATGCATGCAGACTGATCATCAGACCTCAATAAGCAAGTTTTTAGGATTCAAAGCTAACTTCTAATTATTTTGAGCAGAACTTGGATAGTACTTGGCTTAGAAGTTGCTCTGACTGTGGCAAAGACAGACAAGGAGATAAGCCATTGAGACACCTGAAATAAGAGAGGGAAAAATCAATAAGCATGTGCTTCAACTGTTGGAAATAGAGCTGAAATTGTTATAATTTGTTTATAACAGCAATGCATGCCACATCTTAGACAGATAAGAAACATCATATTAAAGAAAAGTTGTCAGGTGGCTTTCAAAGGATCAAAGTACTTGTTGCAATCTTATTTCAGCAATGAATATTATCTGGGAAATCTGATGGCATCTGATACTCACAGACATTTTCCAAGTCACTCAAATGATTTTTTGACCAAGTTCAATGTACGTTGTTTCAAGGTGTGTACAAAAATCATACCCAGCAGGCTTCTTTTTGACTTCCTAACAGCTGTGGAAGTGACATGATGGCAAGAGCATTTCTGAAGGTGTCTGGAGGTTGTTCAATAAGGTGCCCTGAGGCTAGGAGAAACAGAAAGCTCTCAAAGGGCAAACTGAGTACTTGATTTCCATAGGCATAAATCTAATCAGTGGCACTGAATTTATGTAGGGTAAATATTGTGTAAAGGGCAGTCTGGCCTGTGCTTATCATCTTGCTAAATCTGGCTCACTATTCTTGATGACAAGTACTGGGAAGTGGTGACAGGGGCCTGCTGGGCTGTGCTGCAGCCCTTTTTTCTCCATCCAGTTCTCACACCCCGTCCTCAATCCTCCAGCACAAAGTTCAGCAGCAATTTGACTTGCATAAAAAAAGGATAAAAGAGAAAATATTTGTCTTGTAACAACACAAATGGCTCAGTGGAAAGTTGCAAGAAATTTTGAAATTTGAACACTGTGCACTGCTTTTTTTGACATTGCTGCCAGTATATGAGTGGACACTTTGCTAAAGCTGTATGAGCTAAGGTTAAATTTTCTTCCCCTTTCTTTCTGCCCAACCATTTCTTTTCAGCTTTTATGGAAGCTTAGATTAATCTGGCCTAGGAGCAATAGTGGATTATTGCCTGTGAATTCACATGTATTCACACACTCCACAGGCAAGTTGTGAATAATTCAGGGTATGATGCAGTAGGATCAGTCTACACTGAGAGCTCCTTGGCTTTCATATCATTGTCATATAGAGAATTCAAATGCAATGGTGCTGGGAGATGAAAAAAGGAAAAAGCATTGCTACTTAGTGCATTCAAAATCAGTAATGTGAAACACATTGCTAATAACATTGAGAAACTAATAAAGACAGCTCCTTGGCTTTTATTAAGAGTCTTTTGTGATGAGAGTCTACAGAGTCAAGAGGACTGTAACAGCTGATACTCCCTTGATGCAAAGATCATCAAAAGGCTGAAGGCCATCAATTTTAATTGTTTCCAAGAGTGGTTTCAGGGCAGCTGTGACTGTCTAGACAACTGGTAGCATCCTAATTAGCCACAGTTTCATGACAAAATGATTTTGGCCTTTATTGAGGATGAGTTTGCATCACAGTGCAGAACAGTCTCAGATCCAGTTGATAATTTATTGTCTAGGTTCCTAGCTGTTTAAATGGGCAATTGAAGAACTAAGTAGATGCTAGGAATTTAAATGCCTCATTGGATCTGGACCTGACCCTACAATGCCTAGTAGCTTACGCTGGAATTTTTTTTTTGCTGAACTTGAACAAGCTCTGTAAGATTATGTAAATAGTTCAAAAAACATTTTAAGAACAAGCATGGTAAGGAAGAACCGTTCTGGTACCAATGGTATTATGTTCTAATTTCAATCCAAACAGCTTGATATCATAATTTTAACAGGACCTCCATAGCTGTTTAACTCAAGAGTGGCAAGAAGAGAAATAAATTTTTTAATGTAAGAACAGAAGAAACATCCATCTAAATCTGTACTCCATCTTTGATGTCTGCTGGCAGAAGATGCTTAGAGAAAAAGCAAAATATCAGTATAAGCAAAAAAAATTATGCTTACATGAGTAGAATTTTCTTTCAATATCTTCAAATCAGAACTATTAAATTCTGCAAAGGTTTATCTTTTATTATTTGGGATTTAATTGGGTTAGATCCTTTCCTCTCAAACAAATGCATTTTTTAAGAAAAAAGATCTCTACTCAGATTTTAAAAAGTGATGGGGTTGGGGTTTTTAGTAGCTTAATCTATTAAATTATTAATTTAATTTTTTCTTTTGAATTTTTAGCCTTTTCTAAGTTTTGACAGATAGTAATTATTGCCACTTTCAGAGAGTTTTTTTGTTGGTTTTTTTTTGTTATTGTTTTTTTTTGTTTTGCAAAAGGTCACATCCTTGCTTTGGTTTGCTTTCTTTTTGTATTCTTTATTTTTCTATCAGATGGCATGATAAAAGGCTGGCATCCATCAAGATCTCCACTCTGAAGTGAAATATAAACCTTGCAAAATCAGAAATTGTCAGTTTCATTTGTATCAGGCTTTCTAATTCCATTCATAGCAGTAAAAGGAATTTATGTGATTTAAAAGCTAGATACAATAAACTTGAATGAGATATACGAAGTGGAACTGACAGCAGGTGATGAAGATGATGAGGATGGGAAGGGAGCAGTGTCCAGGTTATGGAAGGTATTTCCTCCTGGTCACTGCAGTCCAGCCAGGACGTCTCAGCACCTGAGGGTCTCCATCCCAGCAAAAGAGGCTGCTGCTGTGCCCATGTCCAGGTCCAGCCAGTTGCAGCACTCAGTGGGTATTTCAGAGAGGCTGGAGCACACACATGCTAATGTACACACATAACTAATGCAGCTGACCATGCAGACTGTTATCTTTAGCAACATGAATATGTGCCACTGTGAAAATTTCCAGAAAACAGAGATACAGAGAGGGCCGTATCCACTTTCTGCCCTCTGGCTGATCAAGATTAAAGTTTGCTAATGAAAACCAGCCCCACACACATAGTATCCAAATTCAGGAGAGAATTCACAGGAAAACTCCTCAATTCACTCTCCAGATTCAGACCCACAGGGATAATGCCCTTGAATAGCAGCACAGTCTCTAATTCTGTGTAACACCCATGCCCAAACCCTGGGCCCCCTCTCCCTGTGTGCAGAGCTTCCCCCACTCAGCACCTTGTCCAGTTTGATCTTCTGCAGCCTTATGTATGTACTCATACTCGTCTCACAGGCACTCCCACGGTTACAGTTCCCTTAGGTCTTGTGTGAGCTCTCTCTTTTATGCCTAATGTCAATGCCCAGACCTCAGGCCTCCTTGCCTATCGCTGACTCAGACCTTGAGTGGTTCCAGATGCATGTCTCCTCCTGCTTTTGAGAGAGTCCAGCTCAAAGTTAGTGGATTACAGATGCATACCCTAATGAACAGCTTTTAACATGAACTTCTTGAATATAGGTGTTCTTGTGTAAATCACTGGGACAAGACAAATACCCACAGGTCTTTGGTTGCTGCCAACTAACCTTGTACTTGCTGGTCCCTCTGGCTGCTGGGACCTAGACCTACTGGTGTTGTGACCTTTTCTCCTGTTGCTGGCACTTAGACTGCAGCAACCACATATAGAGGAGACTGAATTACACTGAAAAAAAGTAAGAATAGAGTTTGGAAGCACAATATGACAGTCTGTAGTAAGGCTCTGTGCTCAGACAGAATAGCTCACTGGCCAGCTTTTATCTGTCTTGCTCTTTTTATTCCCACTTCTCTTTCACTCTCGCATGTTTGCTCCTCCATGATCATCTTTTCCTTTCCACACCCCTGGTGCTTCCCCTAAACACCTCTTAACAAGGTTTACACAGCCTCACAAGATCCTCCTGATATCCCAAAATACTCACAATTATATCCTTGCCCCCTTATTTCCAGTGACAAATTTTGGACTGACCCTTTGAAAGGCTGTGTCTGAGAAAATCCTTCAGTGACCCATCAGGCAGCAACCAAAGATGTCTAGTCTTCACTGCTGTCTCCAATACCATTTTTCATATTACTGCAGAAGTGTCTGTGGGCTTAATCTTTCATTTTCCTTATTACCTGTTATTTCTTTTATACAAATACACAAATAATCTGCAACTGGGTAACTTAATAAATCCTATGCTCTTGC